TTTATGTTTGTTTGATATACTAAACAATTAGGGTAATTTTCCTTATTATATGAAAACGATTACGGTAAATAATAATATATATGAAAAAATAATAATATATATGGAAACTGATTAATATGTTTGTTATACTAATCAATTAAGGTAATTTTCCTTATATCATGTAAGACACTATCTTATTGATCTAATTCGACTATGGATCTCGTTAATAGAGTATGGATCCCGTATTATTCAACCACATAGTATATTAATAATTTCAATATAGTACATTAATCTGCTGTGATAGTATATTACGGTTATAGTATTGATATGAAATTGTGTTACAGACAATATACCACTGAAATGACAAGAACATTGAGAACAACACCAACGTAAAGTATTCCACATAACCAATAAAATAGTACATTAATAATCTCATAATTTCAATCTAGGGTTTTGATAAAATACATAAAACACATCATAACACAATCAAACCAATATGTCGAGTTAAAAAACTCTAGTACATTAATAATCTCATAATAGTATAATAAAATGATAATGGTAGTATCATACGGTATTCATAATAGTATACTACTGTATTACAACGGTTTAACACTTAACCGAAGTTACCGAGCCATTACATCGTAAACACCTCTTTATAGCAACCAACCCACCAAACCTCAACAAAATCCGTACGAAATTCGCCATCGAAAAAACCTAAAATCATGAAACAAAATAAAAAATGCAGAATACTAAAAAATAATTAAATAGACTGCAAATATATTTCATCAAAAATAAACTTAAAATGCAAAATTCATACGCTAAATTAAAAAAAACTACGAACTATATTTTAATGTACTACCCAGCACACTTAAATCGGCTGTTATAAACAAATAAACCAACTATCGATCGGGATAAAAACATGAACTCGACCAAAGCGGACAATTATTCCGATTATTGCATAAACCAACTACGAAGCTCATATAAAACAACTCTGGTTCGATCTGCGTGAACCATCCTCTTCTAACTCTGTCAATCATCTTCCAAACAAACATCATCGGCCAAAAAAAACGATATATATATGACGGAATAATTTTGTTAAAAAACGTTCTACTTAATAGAATCAAGTATCAACACAACTCTTAAAAATTTCTAACCACCGTACAAGACAATCATGGACATTGAGCAAAAAATAAAAACGAATAACGCATTCATACCCGCTTAACAACGTCCAACAACAAACGCTCAAAAATCGATCCTATTTCCACGACGGTGCAGAAATCTTCAATGACGATAAAACCCGCTGGAACGATGAAGAGAATCTTCAAAAAATATTGTACACGATTTGATATAACGGCCAATGATCTCACGTAATTTTATTCCGTGATTTTAGGCAACGTATCAGCAAATCTCAAATCACGTATTAAAGGAAATAAATGCTGTTTAATAATAAAACATGGGTATTAAAGAGAAATTATATAATATATTTTGCCAAGTTGGCAAAATTGGGTGTATCTCAAAAAGGGGAAAAAAAATTGGATCTACCTCATTAGAAAATATGAACAAGGGGGTTTTCCCTAATAAACCCTATAATTAATAAGTGAAAATTGGAATGGATGAGTATTATATTATTACACGCGGATTTTATTTAGAAATTCAATCTAGTTTATTGTACATAACGAAGTGAAAATTGGAATGGATGAGTATTATATTATTACACGCGGATTTTATTTAGAAATTCAATCTAGTTTATTGTACATAACGAAGCCAAGTTGTGTCACGTAATGGAGGGGTACAACTCAACAGTGCATGCATGCATGCACGTACATAGTTGTCCAAAGCCCATGCACAAAGGCTCGTAGTTCAATTAATTCTTAGTTCTTATCCAATAACCCTATGTATATGTATATATAAATGTGTGTGTGTGTGCATTTCTTTTCTATAGATATCGCAGATTATATACTATAAAATGACAGGAAAAGGTGGTGGTAGTGGCGGAAAAGGTGGTGGTGGTGGGAAGGGGGGAGGTGGTGGCGGTGGAGGAAAAGGAGGTGGTAGCGCTAGTGGCGCAGGAGGAAAAGGTGGTGGCAGTGGTAGTGGTGGTGGAGGAGGAAAAGGAGGTGGCGGCGGTGGTAAAAGTGGTGGATCGGCCGGAAAGGGAGGTGGTGGCGGCGGTGGCTGCGGACCAGGGATGATGACGGCGCCGGGAGGAGGAGGAGAGTGTATATCGAGGGGTGGTTTTGAAAGCAACCCTCAGGGCTATTTCGCCGGACTTCATGCTGGAGACCAGGGTTCCAAACAGTAGTTATATATATATATATATATATATATATATATATATATATATATATATATATATATATATATAATTAATTTCGTTTTGTAATTAAAACCTATAATTAACTACAAATCTACAATAATGTTTGTGTACTATATATGTTTGTATATATTGCAAGTATTTGCTTAATTTTGTAGACAGTCGAATCTGTAACCATGTAATACTATTTTCTTGAATAATAAAAGTTTGTAAATTTCCTGTTTGATTGCTTAGTTTAATTTAAACTTTTTTCAGTTTGATGAATCAAATATGAAATTTTATTTAAATGAAATAATTGGGGGGATGATATTTTTTTAATGGGGAAATCTTACATATGAAAGTAATAAAAGCTACGGCAACGTAATAAATTTTAATGACCTGTTTGTAAATTTTATTTTATTTTTTTGACCTTCAATTATTTAAATATAGCTCTAATTTTTCGTCTATTATTATCTTTGTTTTATAATTCATTTTAATTAATATTTTTGTTTTTCTCCAATATTTCAGCTATTAATTATCTCCTATTCTTTTCGTCTTTTCTCTAGTTAATTATCCATACGCTAGGGCAATCCTAGGGTATTGTAATTTTGCAATATTAATTTAATCATTTTTCATTTTTCATTTTTCATTCTACCTTATCTTATCTTTTTCATTTATTTCTCATTTTTGTTCACGCTTTTATTTTGAACTTTTTATAATATCTTAGTAATTATTATTTTTTAAATTTTTTTTTTCTCAACTGATTTTTTAGTTTTGACTTTTAAAATGTTATGTAGTGCATATCAGAAGGAAAAAAAAAACTAGTAGATAAAACAAAAATAATTCCAGAAGATAACTAAGAAACCTGCAGGAAAATTGATAAACTTTTTCTAGATGATACACCGAAGAATGCCACGTGTCCACAGTAAAACGACGTGGCTTTCGATTATAAGTCATGTGAAAAATGAAATTATTTATTAATTAATTATAAAATAACAAATAAAGACACGTGTAGAAAATAAAATGATGAAAGATATCTACAACAATATTTTTCATTTAATTTTTAAATCAACGGTGAAAAATGAAGGCAACCAGAAAAATACAAACAGAGCCACAAAGGAAAACCAGTCCAACTGTGGTGGCAACTACACAAGCAAGCTGAATAATTGATGACATCACAGCCATCTTATTTTTCTCCTGTACGACGTCGTACGGGTACCTGTAAATCTATCCATGATTGTGACACGTGTCCACCCTCTCCTTCATCCTCACTTGTTTCATTCTGCACCTTAGAACACTCATATTTGCGTCCACTGTGTGTGAATAATTTCCTATATCATTAAATTAACAATTTGCATCAATTTTATAAATAATTAGGTTATTATATCTTACAATATTATCTCCCTGTTTTTTCATATATTTTATCTCATATTCAACATTTAATTTTTGTCACATAATTAAAAATTAGGTACATACCAATATATTATTTAATTTAAAAAAAAAAACCTTATAATATATAATTAAATTCTAGAAGGGGAATTAAATTTTTTTTTTGGTTGGTTAATCGAATTAATACAAAAGTGAATAATTAAATCTTATATATAAAAGAAAGAAACGCTAGGGCAACCCTAAGGAACCCTAATGTCATTTTTGTAATTTCATTTTTATTATTTTCAATTTTTATCAATTTTTTATCTCTTAAATATTACTTTAAATGTTATTTTTGATTTTTATCAAATTTATATCTCCTAAATATTATTTTAGAAATTTATCATATTTTTATCTCCTATATATTATTTTCGATTTTTATCAATTTTTTATCTTCAAAATATTATTTTCGATTTTTATCAAATTTTTATCTCCAAAATATTATTTTAAATATTATTTTCAATTTTTATCAGATTTTTATCTCCTAAATATTATTTTCGATTTCTATCAATTTTTTATCCTAGAACCAGGCCTGCTCTCCTATTTTCAGCCATAAGTATCTCTAATGCACATTCAATTAAATCTCCTAAATATTATTTTCTCTCCTAATTTTCAGCCATAAACATCTCAACACTACATATTATTCTTTGATGATAAAATACTAATTAATATATTTCCAAAGTTGGACGATCCAAAGACTTCCCTTAAGACTCTCAACACTTTCAACTTCTCTCTTCCACTTCAACACATTTGTGTTTTCTCTTCTTATTTATATCCCACCTCTCAACTTCTCCACCCCAGTTTTATCTCTCCCCGTTTCTACCAAATGTTTGTGGATTCATAAAAGGTTAGTTATTTTGCAATTTTTTTTCTCTTCATAAGCTATTGGAAGTGGGCCTTCAAGACTTATTGTGCAATATTTAATTTATTGTTTATATTTACCTTTATTTCTTAATTTTCCAATTGTTAATATCCATATATAAAAGAAAGAAACGCTGAGCAACCCTAAAAAACCCTAATGATATTTCTGTAATTATTTATTTTTAATATTTTTATCTACTAATTTATAACTATAATTTTTAACGATTATCAAAATTGAAACTAATCGTGAAGAATCTTACCCTAAAGGTACATCTATTTATTTTTAATATTTTTTCTTTACTAATTTTCTAACTAATTTTTTCTCTACTTATTATTCTTAATCTATATATTTGGATTATATATATATATATATATATATATATATATATATATATATATATATATATATATATATATATATATATATATATATATATATATATATATATATATATATATATATATATATATATATATATATATATATATATATATATATATATATATATATATATATATATATATATATAGATATATATATATATATATATATATATATATATATGCAGCTGCAGGTATATATGAAAAATTATCGCAGCATAATTGAGTCAAAGGTTTATTTGTTAGTTTTTTAGGTTTAACTATACATTATTTTGTCTTTTGTTGACCACATTTACTGAGATGAAGGGTTTTAATTTGTTTCTAAGTTTTTTGTCAATCCTCAATAATAATTACTTTTAAGCTCAACATGAAAGACATAATTGATGATTTTGTTCTTGGTTCAATTTTTTAATCTACTGGTATTAGTTGATTCAATTTATTTGGAAAATTATTCAACAGTAAAGTTATTTGTTTTTTTTGTTTTTTTTTGTGTGTAATATAATTAGTAATGTTCCACTGATGAAGTATTCATGAATGATTATAACAGAATTTTAATCATACGATACATCAAACGTTTGTTTATGTTCTTACAACATCAAAACAATGCAATTTGTTGCCCGTGCATCGCACGGGGTACAATTACTAGTTGAATAAATAAAAAAAAAAAAAAGTAGTACCTTCATCCCTAAAGCTTTGGGATCTGGCTTGTGCAGCAGGGAGTTGTACCTTAACCCTAGAGAAACATGGATTTGTTGTCCTGCAAATTGAAAACGCACTCGAAGCACCCATAGTAGATAATCCGTTCATATATGCTTTTGCTTAAAAGCCCTTTAGTTTTGAAAATATAACAACCTAGTCCTCTCAATATTGCTTATTTGCTTTTTTTTTTTGTTTTAACTCTCGGTGAATTTCTTCTACTCTTGCTTGTTTCACAAAATGAGTATACATATTACGTTTGATATTTATAGTTGCTCTACAAAGAACAGTTACTGTAGAAAGAAAACATATATACATATATATATATATATATATATGCAGCAGTGAATAAGAACACGTCTCTACATCGAAGTTGATGCTACTCGAATATCGTGCTAGATATTTTGCTATTTTATTTTAAATTTGGACAACAAATTAAAGCTGGCCACAATATTAGAAATAGGTGACAAGTAGCTTACATTTTCTAGTATATATCATATATATATATATATGTATATTAATTATGGTCGAGTGTGTATAGCACGAAAACTTCAATTTTAGACGTTTTTGCATTTCTTACACGGTTTGTGTTGGGCGTTCTAGAACAACTGACGGACTATCGGCCATTTTGCAATTTCTAGAAAGTTAGAAAAATGTTTGAATAACAAATTTTCCCTAATTATTTACGCGATTCAATGATCCATTGTAAATTAATAGTTGATAGTAAAATTTAATTTGAGTATGTTTGTATAAAAATATATAAAATTTATATATAAATAAAAACTTATATATATTTATATAACAAATTTATAAATATACTCCAGTAATCTTAATATTTCGGGATATGCCGTTTTCCTGTTACCAATTATCATCGTTTCCGTGTACGTTCGCTGCAATGGTGCAAAATAAAAGAATTGGTGATAAAGTTGCACCACGTGCACATGGTATGACAAAAGATGCATGCGGACTTTCAATCGAATTCGGTCCAATTTAGATAAGTCAAATTTATTAAATATATATATGTAATTAGTGCAGATTGATCGAACTCAATATCTGTTTAACTCTGGCTTCTACTATTGTTTAACAAGTGGCACCAAAACTATTACTATATCTAATTAATCAT